AGGTCGCAGGTTCAACTCTTCGAGTTGACGCAGGTATTGTACACAGGTAAGTTGGGGAACTAGGGATCGAGCCCTGGGATCTACCTCAGCTACCACGAATTGGTGAATACCGTTTCACCTCGGGCGAAACCTTTGTATTCATTTCACCCCAAACGGGGCAAAAATGGCCGCAGGCCCAAAAACGACCTTTGTGTCATTTTTACAACCGATATGGGCCTAGCCACACCACTCTCGGAAGTGTGGAAAAGACAAAATCAGGCCGGTGCATCTGGTCATGTTCTAGCGCGAAGTTCATTCTCATTTTGCACAACATTTCGAGAGTGCTGTGGCGATGCCCTAAAACACTTTCCCCCCATTTTTGCCAACGCCCGTTACCTGCCCAGACAGGGCAGAAAATGACATTTTCGGGCCCGCGACACTTTAGACCCTTTTCTTTTTTTTTTTTTCTTTTTTCTTTTGGGTTTTTTTTTTTTTGGGTTTTGCCCCATTTGGGGTGAAATGAATACACTTCCAGCAGCGTCCTTCGGGACATCCGTTAAAATTGGAACGATACAGTGAAGATTAGCATGGCCCCTGAAAGATGCGCAAGGATGACACAAAGAAAAAAAAAAAAAAAAAAAAAAAAAAAAAATTGGAAAATATGATTGACAACTTCTCAAAAAAAAAAAAAAAAAAAAAAAAAAAAAAGAAGAAGAAGAATACGTAGGTTTCACCGCGGGGAGGTTCTATAACTTTTCTCATTGACAAAAAAACGACCAAAATTCCACCCGGGGCCAAGGTCCCACTTGCACGGATTAGGAGATTTCGGCCGTTGATCTTTGCTATCTACGTTCAGTATCTCTTAATTCGTGCAAGTGCGACCTAGGTAGCCCTGGAAAGTTGGAAAATACTGGGCACATTACCCAGCCTACGCTTCATCGTTCTCTACTTCTCACCACTTACCAAACTAGACATAGGGCCTCGCCGCACTACTCTCCACATGCACGAAAGAAAAAAGAGATGGCAATGGCATCTTTCCATGTTCTATCGGTGGATTCAATATTTTGCAAATTTGGAGTGTAGTGCAGCATGCACGAAAGACAAAACAGATGGCAATGGCAATCAATCTTTTTTTTTTTTTTTTTTTTAATCATTCCATGTTCTATCGGTGGGTTCAATATTCTGCAAATTTGGACTGTAGTGCAGCGAGGCCCATCATTCGAAGGACAACCTCTACTAGATTTTCACATTTTTAATCTTTCACAATACCCCGCCCGGGGTCCCCCCCCCTAACCACCTCCTTTTTTCTTTCTTTTGTTATCACTTAAACCAGATCCCAGTGCCGAAGGCAAAGTACATAAACGAAAAAAAAAAAAAAAGTAATCTATCACGATACCCCGCCCGGGGCCCCTTCCTAACCACCTCGTTTTTTCTTTTTTTTTTTCATTTAAACCAGATCCCAGTGCCGAAGGCAGAGTACATAAACGAAAAAAAAAAAAGAAGTATATAAACGAAATTTCTCTTGGTAATAAAATGCTGATACAAAAAAA